ATTCCCACATCAAACCGTTTAAAAACTACAAAACTGTAATGATGTGATTGATTGTTATCATTAGAAGCCATGAACTTCATAGTGGAAGTTCAGCGCTCTCAGCTTCCTGCGGTCACAAGATGGTGCCAACAAGCCACACCTGTGGACCGTCTCCACGATGAGCTGCAGAAGACCTCCAGTTGCTGCTAGAGCATTACCTAATGGTAGATGTGTCTCTGGCCACTTTACATGATCTGATAATAGATGAACTTACCTTGTGCTCTTACATGGTTCCAGCATTAACTTCAGCTACCTTCCTGTTCCTGGACTCCTGCTGTATGACCTCGAGCTCCCTTGTGACTTCCTCACCTGTCTCCTCACCTTCCAGCCACTTGCCTACCTCAAACTGGAACTCTCCTGGGACATCTTCCTTCGCTCACTGGAACCATTGGTTCCCCTGCTCCTCCAACAATCCACAAATCCATCTGTAAGAAAGAGAAGCATCACCATTACTCACCTTACCTCAAGTTACCCATTCTGAACCTTCTCCTTGCTCCCCAGGGTTCCAGCCCCTCGCCGTGCACGTTGCTGAAATTATACTGTAAATACCCTCCGCCCACTTTGTACTTGGTCTTGTAGTCTGTTCTATTCATCCCATGTTCTCTGGGTGTTCTGCTAAAAGTTACATTCATTTTACATCATAATAACATTTAACTTGGATTCTGCTGTGTTGCAACAAATAAAAAATAATAACTGCATAAACACTAGTCTGTAAACTAGGACGCAAAGACGCATTGTAAGAGAATTTTTAGTCAAAGGTTTTGGATGTTTTTATTATTATAGCTGAGAACAAGAAGCCCAAGAAAACCGTCTCCCAAGATGCTATCTTACCTCTGCCCATGAACCATATGTTTGGATTAACGGAGCACACTCAGTGAGGAACTGGGTGGCTCCAATGACACCTCCTGAGCTCTGTGAACTGGGCTGAACTGATAAGGATATAAAAGCACAGCTCCAGGCAGAGTCTCGTGACTGGTCTCCATGTGTGCAGCCTGTCCTGAAGATCTGATCTTGCCAGTAAAAACCCAGTTAAATATCTGCTCCTGCCATTAAGAGTGGTTCTTTTTGGGCAAACAACCTAAGCGAGCGCATTTTTCTCCAACACACATATGCCTTCGTTAGTAAGACTTTTTCTTCACATCGTGTTATGTGTTGTTTTACCCCACCTTCGTTCTTCAGAACTGTGCCATCAGAACCCGATGGAGAAAAATGATAGCAGTATGAAGTGCACCGTACTGAAAGCCTCAGTCCTTCCTCGTGGTGACGTGTGCAGATGAAGGCGCAGTTCATTCTTACAGTGGTAGCACAACTTGCTGCAAAACACTTTTTACAGCAGCAGGAATACAAAGAAGCTCTAACACAGAGAAACAGTCTGATCTGAAACTGATTTGAAACATCTGAGTCGGAAAGAAAGATCTCTGACCAGCCTAGGCCTCATAGTCCAATATGGCTGCCTCGTGCATTAAAAGTGTTAGCAGTTCATGTTGCTACAATATTTTAATGTTGAGAAATATGTTATCTCCATGTGTGCTGATACTAATTAGCCTTGTTCCCGAGCACATTGAGCAAATCTCAATGTTTTCCGAGCTGGAATACAGTTCAGTTGAATGTGACGTCCTTCTCAGATCAGAGCTCTGACCTTTGAGGTAAATGAAACGTTATTACATCTCCCATTTTAATATAAACCTGCACCATCCGAATAATCTTAGGGTCTACTTTTAAACTCTTTGGCATCTTTACAAAGACAAATCTCCATGGCGACAAATGACTTGGCCGTGGCTAACAGAAATAATAGTTTGCCCCTGCATCAAATGGTTGTTCTGGGTATCTTTATATTTTCAACAGTGTGCCGTATTTAACGTGAAAGCTCAGGAACTCTTAACTTTTTTATTCTTGTCTTCATGTGGAGGGTTATTTGAGTGGGAACAGAGTTCATGAAGTAGTTCCATATAGAATTATACTGAACTGCTTCTTCTGTATTCAAAACATCCTTCTGTGTTTCTGCCTCTCTAATGAAAACTGATGGGAAAACATGTGGAGCTTCATTTAAGGTTTTCTGCTCATTTCGGAGAAGATGATAAATTCACATTCTAATTTACAGCAGGATGTGGTTTGTCTGAATTCCATCCATCCATCCATCCATCCATCCATCCATCCATCCATTATCTTTACCTGCTCCTTTTCGGGTTGCAGGGGTCACTGGTGCCCATGTCCAGCTATCACTGTGTGAGAGGCGGGGGACACCTGGACAGGTCTCCAGTCCATCACAGGGACACATAGAGACAAATGAGACAAACATTCACTCTCTCACTCACACCTAGGAACAATTTAGAGTTACCAATGAGCCTCACATGCATGTTTTTGGTCTGTGGGAGGAAATCGGAGTGCCCGGAGAAAACACAAGCATGCAAGGATTTATATACCTATATACAGTTATAGGTAAATATATATATATATATATATATATATATATATATATATATATA